TCAGCCGCACGCTGCCCTTCCCCGACGAGGCCCACGAGCGCTACGTAAACTGGGAGCACTGGGAGCACTGGGGGGACTGGGAACGGGGACTGGGGGGACTGGGAGTGCTGGAAACGGGGACTGGGAGCACTGGGAGCGCTGGGAGTGGGGACTGGGAGCACTGGGGGGACTGGGAACGGGGACTGGGAGCACTGGGGGGACTGGGAACGGGGACTGGGGGGACTGGGAGTGCTGGAAACGGGGACTGGGAGCACTGGGAGCGCTGGGAGTGGGGACTGGGAGCACTGGGGGGACTGGGAACGGGGACTGGGAGCACTGGGGGGACTGGGAACGGGGACTGGGGGGACTGGGAGTGCTGGAAACGGGGACTGGGAGCACTGGGAGCGCTGGGAGTGGGGACTGGGAGCACTGGGGGGACTGGGAACGGGGACTGGGAGCACTGGGGGGACTGGGAACGGGGACTGGGGGGACTGGGAGTGCTGGAAACGGGGACTGGGAGCACTGGGAGCGCTGGGAGTGGGGACTGGGAGCACTGGGGGGACTGGGAACGGGGACTGGGAGCACTGGGGGGACTGGGAACGGGGACTGGGGGGACTGGGAGTGCTGGAAACGGGGACTGGGAGCACTGGGAGCGCTGGGAGTGGGGACTGGGAGCACTGGGGGGACTGGGAACGGGGACTGGGAGCACTGGGGGGACTGGGAACGGGGACTGGGGGGACTGGGAGTGCTGGAAACGGGGACTGGGAGCACTGGGAGCGCTGGGAGTGGGGACTGGGAGCACTGGGGGGACTGGGAACGGGGACTGGGAGCACTGGGGGGACTGGGAACGGGGACTGGGGGGACTGGGAGTGCTGGAAACGGGGACTGGGAGCACTGGGAGCGCTGGCGGAAGCTGGGAGCACTGGGAGCACTGGGGGGACTGGGAAGGGGGACTGGGGGGACTGGGAACAGGGACTGGGGGCACTGGGAGCACTGGGGGGACTGGGAATGGGGACTGGGAACGGGGACTGGGAGCACTGGGAACGGGGACTGGGAGCACTGGGAGAGCTGAGAATGGGGACTGGGGGGACTGGGAGTGCTGGGAGCGCTGGGAATGGGCACTGGGAGCACTGGGAGAACTGGGGACACTGGGAGCACTGGGGACACTGGGAGCACTGGGAGCATGGACTGGGAGTGCTGGGAACGGGGACTGGGGGGACTAGGAGCACTGGGAACACGGGCACTGGGAGCACTAGGAATGGGCACTGGGGGGACTGGGAACAGGGACTGGGGGAATTAGGAGAACTGGTGGGACTGGGAACACTGGGAACGGGCACTGGGAACAGGGACTGGGAGTGCTGGGAGCACTGGGAGCGGGCACTGGGAGCACTGGGAGCGGGCACTGGGAACAGGGACTGGGAGTGCTGGGAGCACTGGGAGCGGGGACTGGGGGGACTGGGAGCGGGGACTGGGAGCACTGGGAGCGCTGGGAACGGCGACTGGGGGAACTGGGGACACTGGGGGGACTGAGAGTACTGGGAGCACTGGGAACAGGCACTGGGGGGACTGGGAACAGGCACTGGGAGCACTGGGAACAGGCACTGGGAGTGCTGGGAGTGGGCACTAGGAGCACTGGGGGGACTGGGAACGGGCACTGGGGGGACTGGGAGTACTGGGAACAGGGACTGGAAGGACTGGGAGTGCTGGGAGCACTGGGAACGGGCACTGGGAGCACTGGGGGTGCTGGGAGTGCGGGGAATGGGTACTGGGGGAACTGGGAATGGGGATAACTGGGGGAATGGGGGAAACTGGAAACTGTAGGATTGGGAGAATGGGGGGAAATGGGGAGAACTGGGAACTCTTGATCACTGCTTTGCCCCACAGAGTCCGGGCCATGGGGCTGCTGCTGGCCCCTGGTGGCTACTGGTGAGCTGGGGGGGCTACCGGGGCTGGGGGGGTACGGGGGGGCATTGGGGTGCCAGGGGTCCTTCGAGGGGCTGGGCTGGGATTGCACCGGGAAGTGCTGGGATTGTACTGGGCTGGGCTGGGATTATAGCGGGCTGTACTGGGTGTACTGGTCCATACTGGGCAGGGCCTGGGGCTGTACTGGGCCATACTGGCCAGTCCCAGAGCTCCCAGTTCCCCCAGGGCAGGTGTACTGGGCCGAGGACCTGATCTTCCTGGGGCTGTACTGGTGCATACTGGTCCGTACTGGTCCATACTGGTCCGTACTGGTCCATACTGGTCCATACTGGTTTATACTGGTCCCCAGGGCAGGTGTACTGGGCCAAGGACCTGATCTTCCTGGGGCTGTACTGGTGCATACTGGGCTGTACTGGGTGTACTGGGCTATACGGGTCCATGCTGGTCCATACTGGTCCGTACTGGTCCATACTGGTCCATACTGGTCCATACTGGTCCCCAGGGCAGGTGTACTGGGCCACGACCTGATCTTCCTGGGGCTGTACTGGGCTGTACTGGGGCTGTGCTGGTCTATACTGGGCTGTACTGGGCCGTACTGGTCCACACTGTTTATACTGGTCCATACTGGTCTGTACTGGTCCATACTGGTTTATACTGGTCCGTACTGGTCCCCAGGGCAGGTGTACTGGGCCAAGGACCTGATCTTCCTGGGGCTGTACTGGGGCTGTACTGGTCCATACTGGTCCATACTGGTTTATACTGGTCCATACTGGTTTATACTTGGGC